CCGAATCCGCGTCGAAACCACACAGGAAAAGTCTCCCGAAGATGCCAAATATGCTGCCATCTCTTCATCCGCAATCTCACCGAGCGCGTTCCACTATTCGCAAAATGCCTACTCACAAACGTCCGAGAAACACTGTTCGCATCGATGTAGTGGACCGTCCACCCCCCGCGAATTGCAGGTCATTTGCGAGAGGTGGTGCAATTCGTCTGTGAGCATCCCTTGCCCTCACGCGCCGCAGGGGTGACCCTGCGCCGGCGGAGGCAGACGCGTCTGCGTCGGTGCGCGTGCTGGGCCCTTGCTTGTCTTAGGTCGGGCATGTCCTCCTACAGGCGGATTTTGGAAGAGAAATGAACAAGTCAAAAAATATTCAAAAATTGTCAAAAGTAGTCCTGAAAATGTCCCTTGCCTATGTTCTACTACTTTTGAATTTCCCCCCTGTAGAAGGACAGGCCCGACTTAACACTAGTCGCCCGCCTCCCCCAGGCCACTCCCTCTCCCAAGAAATCCACGTCCTCGCCAACAAAGACTGTTCACGACGACAACAAAAAACCGAAAACAGACCGACCCGACAGCGAAACCGAAACCAACCGACATCGACATAACCAGCCTCGAACATATCCCTATCCCTTAGTTCGGCAATCCCGAGGCGACGAGAATCTTAGGGATGTGCCCTCAGAAACTGAGGGAATCCTTAAGATCAGCACCAAGGTAAGGTGATGCTAAACATAGGGATCGGGGATAGGATATGCTTCCAGCTGGTAACGACAGGCCGCATGCAACCCAGAAAGGCGACGCGGCAAAGACACAAGAACCGACCGGACCAACTCAGCGCAACCGACTACGACGCAACCGAAGCCACCGAACGGCGAACACTCTGGGCCATGATGTCGGGGCAACTGACACCGTACAATCGTGTTGGCAAGGCACATGGGCCGCTCTTATGTCGTGGCGTCGTGACTAACTCCCCATTGGGCAGCTCCTGCAAGAGATCAGCAACATACGCACTTCATGAAAGCGCACAAGCACATCGATCGCGCGCCTTGTCCGCTGAGCACCTCTGCCAATGCGAAATCAGATCCCTAATCCTAGCGGCGGGCTGTCCCCGACCACCTATGGCAGGTTCGTGTCGCGCCGACTTCTGCGCTGGTTTCTGACATCGGTGGCTTCCGAGACGTCGGACCGTTCAACGTCGACCGATTCTGGGTCGCAAGCGGCGGTCAGCGTTGAACGCCAGCGGCGGAGTCACCGCTGGTCGACACGACGCGAACCTACTGTACGCAGCGCCAGCACCTGGCGGTAGGCAGCATAAGGGTCAGAGCCATGCAAGACGTGGCGCGTAGTGCAGCTGCCGCGCTTCTCTTAGAGCGAAGAGCTGCGCAGAAAACTTTACATGTCTGGCAGCACGGAGCTGCTACGAAGCAGCCGATTCAGTGGCACCCGCACGGGCGAGGCAGCGAGCGATACCATCGCATCGGTCCTTCTTCACGTTTCCACTCCTGCTGCCTGTGTTCCGAGGCCCCTCCCAGAGAAGACTGTGCCTTAACTCTGACTTGGTCGGACATTGGTTTCACATATTGTCTAGTTGAATCCTGTTCCTGACTGGCACAGCCTTGCGGGAAATCCAGGGTTACAGTGCTTGTCATCGCAGCAACAATTGCGACGAATGATCCACCCCGAATCCCCGAGGAGGTCAGAAGGAACACATACCAAATTCGTGTAACAATGTGGATCTGGGGTGCAAGCATGTGACACATGCTAGCGAACCAAGTGTCGGACCGAAAGAGGGCTCCTCTATGACTTCGTTCCCCTCCTACCTCTGGCTAACTTCGCGAAGATGGTGGGACCCTCTTAAAGCCCAATGCCCAAGCCCAGGTCAGCGGTGAGCCGCCATGCGGCACGTGGACCGAACACTAGAGCGAAGATTGCCGAATCCGTATTTGAATGACTGCACGCGGGTGCTTGGGCATGCCTCACTGGCACTCGGACCACAGGCCCGAGGAGGACTGAGCTCGACAGACGCAGGCGCACTGCGTTGAGCTCCAACTCATGCCCGTCGCCCGCTGCTTGCAAGACGTCATGCAAATCTTCTCCTCCAGCGAGCTACAATGGCAAACTAGCTTGCCTTCCACACTGGACACGGTGCCGCACTAAGGACCCAGGCGCTGGAATCACGTAACCCCAGATTGCTACAACAAAGAATGAAGAACGAGGATTGCCAAACATACACTGTAAAATTTGTCGGGCGGGGGGGAACTTACATCCAAGCGACTCTGATTGGCTGGGCCGATTGCGCTTCGGGGCGCAGTGAGCCGAACAATTTGTCGCGGAGTCACTTCGCTCCCTGCACCTCATTCCCATTTCCGTTGTAGCAAGCGACTTATCGGGGACACGGCCTGCCCTCCATGCAACATCCATGCACGCCGCACGCCGTTGCCACGACCGGCGATCTGAACTGCTGCCCCTGGGCAAGGCACATGCATCGCGGAACGCGGGCAGGAGAGGGGACCTGCTGGAAGAGCCTGGTGAATGTAAAGACTCACTGGATTCTGCTTGCTCAACTTTTGCCTCAAATGACCGCCGACCTTGCGTTGTCAGGGTCGAGCGGGACGAGGAGGAAAGAACAGCCTTGTGCCACCACTCCCGCCAGATCCTCCCCCTACCAGCTCTCGGGCGCATGTCGTGTATGATAATATTACGAACCTCTATTAACAACCCACCCATTCCCACACGGGGAAGGGTTTGCCCCTCCCTCTACCCCAGGCGGAAACACAAACGCCCGAAACTAGCCATGCGGAAAGGGAAATTCGCGCATAACCGGCTATGCAAACCAAGGCAACATCGTTCGCGCCAAGACGTGTGTCCATAAAAATGCTGGTTGGATTTGATCTCGATTGATGGACATGGCAGTATGGATTTGTCGTTGATGTCTGGGCGCGGCGTAGCCTGAGCATGACCTCTCAACGTCTACTAAAATCGAAACCAAAAGTGCTCCCACAATTTGTCTTGGGTGCCGCCGGAGGCCACTAGTGGGGGTCGGTGGGTTGATCTCGGGTTAAACCAAGGATCGGTACTGTTGACCTCCCCACGGTTGGGCTTGAGGCCGACTTGAGACCCTGTCGCGGACCTTCGGGGCCAAATATATTTGGCCGCCGTGCGGCGACCATGAGGGTCTCTCTGGCAATCTTGGGCGGTTGCGCGAGCACCTGCTACTACGAAAAGGCAATCTTGGGCGGTTGCGCGAGCACCTACTACGGTTTGCAAGAGTGGGCTCCAAACAGCTAATGTTTGCACGCTAGACGTGTGAGCAATGAGATGCAAGCTAAGTGGTGCATGCTATGTGGTGCAAGCTACGAGGTACAAACTATGTGGTATAAGCTCTGTGGTGCAAGCTACGTGGTGCAAGTTTGGTGATGCGAGCTACGTGGTGCGACATAGATATGCATACCTATAAGTATGACTATATATCGATACTGGTGCAAGCTATTTTACGCGAGCTACGTGGTGACAGCTATGTGGTGTAAGCTACGTGGTGCAATATATGTGTGCTGCAAGCTACGTGGTGCAAGATAGGTTGTGCCACCTACGTGGTGCACGCTATGTGGTGCACGCTATGTGGTGCACGCTATGTGGTGAAAGTTATGTGGTGCAAGCAACGCGATGCAAGCTATGTGGTGAAACCTATGTGATGCTATCGATTTGGTGCAATTCGCCGTGCCGAAACCCGCGCGTGACCACTTTCAAGTATCGCGCACACATCCCACCGACAGGCCCGCAACATGTTAGCAACGCTCGACTGGCGTAATGGCGCGAGGACCCCTCGGGAAAGCGAGTGCTGACGATGAGAATGACGATGGTAGCGCTGACCACAGGGTCGACAACAACGACTGTGACGATGCCAGCGCAGGAGGCCAATAGGAGGCTCGCAGGGCTCCCGAGTTGGCGATTGCCAGGGGCTGCTCGAGACAACGCCACCTTCGTTTTGAGAGGAACCCATCTATGTGATTAACTTGCTCACGCTCTCGAAATACTCACGGCAACCTGCCTGGAAATAGTTTCTGAATGGTGCCCTAAAAACTCGCAAAGCGTCAAGAATGAACGTTCTGGCGGTACCATCCCTCTTAATGCAACGGCGTTCTCAATTATGTTGCTTCGTGCGATCCCCGCCGAAACCTTCGGCGTTTGATCCCGAAGGTGTGCGCGCTCATTGCTATGTGATGTTGTGCTATGATGTGTGGTGGCATGCTATGTTCTGTGTGTCCTCTTCTGTCATAGCGTATGGTGTTATACTATGCCATATTCCGCTGTGCTGTAGCATAGTATGCCGCTCTCTGTCATGGTATGATTTGCCATTGTATGTAATGCTATGTGTTGTGATGCTGTGTTATGGTGTTGTTTGTTCTAATATGTAATGATTTGTGGTGCTTGGTTATGCCATAAGATGGCATGCTCCGTTGTGTGATGCTTTGTGCGTTCCGATATGCCATCTCATGAGTTGTTATGCTTTGTTGTGCCATGATGTGATATGCCATGTTGTGTGATGTTGTGACATGTAATGTGCTGGGATGTTCAATTCGGAATTGATTTGCTACATGGTATGTTTGGTTTGTCATGGTATGCAATGATATGTGCCGTCACGCTATGCTACGTGTACACTGCTCTGTCATGTCGTGCCATTTTACGACATGATATGTCATGCTATTGTCTGTTATGCACGGATATGGTCTGTTCGGTGGTGTGGTGTTGTGCATTGTCTGTGGGGGACATGGGGATCTGGCGGCCGCGGTATGCAAAGTGGACGAGTCGGCGCCAGGGGCGGCACCATTAGGGACTATCGGGGGACCTGGGGATCTGGCGGCCGCAGTATGCAGAGTGGGCGAATCGCCGCGGGTGGCGGGACCACCTGGGGATCTGGCGGCCGCGGAATGCAGGGCGTGGGGAGGGATTATTGGGAGCCTAAGGATCTGGCGGCCGCGGTATGCAGAGCGGGGGGGGGGGCGGGACCACCAGGGATGATCGGGAGCCTGGGGATCTCGCGGCCGCGGTATGCAGGGCCGGGGTGGGGCGGGACCACCAAGGATTATCAGCAGCCTGGGGATCTGGCGGCCGCGGTGTGCAGGGCGGGCCGGCCGGGAAGCCTGTTCTTAAAATATGACGCCCCCAACCTGTCGGCTGTGGGGTGGGGAAAAGCATAGAACACAGAAGAGCGCAGAGATACACGAAGACGCACGGACATGCCAGCATGGCAACATCGCCAGCCTAATATCTATGTGCAGGCGCTCGGCCTGCATCTAACAGCGCGTGGGATCGAGTAGGTAGAACCTTTGCAACAGGAAGCGGGGACGCATGTACTTGCATCACGTATGGTAATCAGACATAACTGCGGCAACATGAAGCTCAGACATAACCATGCTCAACGGTCCCATTCTATTCGCGATCGCCACACTTATATCGGTGGCACGGCATGACCACCATTCATCTGCCAGCCAACGCGCAGTAACACATGAAACATGTTGGGGTCTGACTGAACGAAACGAGTACAGTACGCCTTTCCAGCTTTAGCATATAGATCCAAGGATTAGAACTCGAGCATTGTGAAAATGGCACTCAGGGTTCGGCGGACTTGACGTGCTGGCGAGGTACGAACAAGTCCCCAGAGAAACTCCAAGCTCGGTGCGTAGCGCGACAAGGAAGACATCTTGGTGAGACACAGAAGTTCGCACCCCAACAAGTCACGGGTGTGGCTTATAGCGGCGCGATGCTGGCCAGCGGCGGTCGGGCTGCAAGACACCCAGTGAGGGACAGCAGCAGGGCCCAGGGATCGACATTATCGACAACCTGAGCGCGGCCATACGCAAACCCAAAGCCGCAATAGGGATGCGAATCACCCAAACCACCAAGACACCAAAACAACCAAGGACATTACAAATGGGTCCATGCATGTGTGGTGCAATCTGTGAGCGATATACGCGCTGCAGCGGAAAAGCGACATTGAATGTTTGACCCATATGTGAGGTGTAAACTGTGCAAGGGGTGTCTATGTGACCAATATGAAAAAATGTAACTTGCATGGCGCGAACTGCGGAGCGCAACCGATATGGTGCAATCTACGAGGTGCTGTACATGTGGCAACATATGTGCTGCAACGTATCGGGTGCAAAATACTTGGTACATCGGCACGCAATCCACGTGTGCCAATATATGTGGCGTAATTGTTGTTTGCTGGAGAATGTTGAACTCGACAGCGTCAATGCTCCAACACATGTTCCACCAACCCACCCGCAAGGTGTTGGCAAGAACCCAGCTGGCGCAATGACGCAATCACTTATCACGCAGATCCTTGACTCAAGCGGGCGAGTCATGATGGCCACGACGGCACTGACGACCGATGCAGACGTGGTGACGAGGGCGACGACAAAGGTTGGTAACGCTGACGACGACGGTGATGATTATGACGACCGCGACGATGGTGGTGACAAGGGCGACGATGATGACGATGGCAATGATGCCGCTTGCGATGATGATATCGATGGTACACATAAGAGTGATGATGAATTGTGCGCGCAGAATTGCGCGAGTGACACGCATGGTCTTCAATGAGAGAGTGCATCCTTGTGACTTCCGCGAATGCTCGCCCACAGAAACCAAATATGTACGTACTAGAGGTGAACGCGGTATGGTGTATTTAAGCGCAACTAGAGGACCGCAGAATTGACATGAATTTGACATGTGCGCGAGAATGTCTTCCGCAGTATGTTGTCTGATGTGGGTAGGCTATCACATCGAGCACGTTACCCACAAAGATCATTCGACAGGGGTGATTGCGTGGAGGGGTCAATAAAGGGATTGACTGGGATGATCGGAGATTGGGAGGTGAGATCGCGAAGGAACGGAGAGCCCCCAACGGGAACTCGGTTTCGGCTTCGTGTCGCGCGTGCGGGCGAGGCGGCAAGAATGATCCCACCTTGGCCAAGGCGAAACTGGCTCAATGCTGGGGAAAGCAAGAAATACCGATATCGCTACTCTCCGGGCCTCTCCAATATTTCGAGGCGAATGTAGCGGTGGCGACAAGAACCTCCCAGGGGGCCTCAAAATCGGAAAACGGCCGAAATGTAGCGGTATGGGCACCTTTTCCTCCTCTGAGAAACCAAGATCAATGTGTCTCTTCCCACCGGTTGGCCAACGGTGGCCCCGGAGTGTCCTGCCAATGCCCCGTGGCATGCCGTGACGCGGCGCGTCCTGCGGTGACCCCGTGGTGACCCGTGGAAGCTCGCTAGTGAAATCGATTGGGTGAGATCGATCGTGGAAACGGTAGTGAGGTCGACAGTGAGATCGATAAATGAAATCGAAAATGAGATCCCGTGGTGTCTCGTGGCGCGGTGTCCCGCGCTGTCCCGTGGAGGCCCGTGGAGGCAGATCGTGAGATCGACGGTGAGAACGGCAGTGATATCGATCACGATGATGAAATCGATAGCGAGATCGATCGTGCGATCGAACTTGAGACCTGTAGTGGACGGATGGATCACAATGGTGTCCCGATGGTGTTCCGATGGTGTCCTGAGGGTGTCCCAATGGTGGCATTTATTTGTCCCCAGGGTGTCCCGATGGTGTCCCATCGCGATTGTCATCAGTTGGTTCCCCCACACACAGTCCTTTTCATCCGAAGGGCGATCGTACAGGTGTGATTTGATATGTTGGAAGAGCGCTCGTGCAAAATACGTGTGGGAAGGTCTGTACCTGGGAGGGGGGGGTCATCAAGTCTTGCTTGTCTCGGCATGGGGGTGCCAAGGAGTAGAGTCAGAGTGCCGAGGAGGCCCCCGAGAAGGCCAGAGATAGCCAAAGAGGTCTCCAAGACTACCTCAGGAGGCCCACGAGGGCAAGCTCTTTAGGGTCCCGGGAGCCATCCCCCCACGAGATGCCCCCCCAGACGCCCAACATGCCTCCGAGAGACCCATGCAAGCCCTCAGAGGAATACACCAAGCACCCAGAAACCCGAGAAGGCGCCACAACAGACACAGAGGAAGAGCGGGAGAAACTAGAGAAAACTACACGCGGGTGGCACGACAGGACGCCGCAGACAACGAATACGAAATTGGAAGTTCATCTTCTGAGGGTCAACGGAATAGCATAAGCCATTCGAGCCGATCTGGAGAACTCTACGCGGAGGGTGGCCGTCAAACCTTGTCTCGGCAGGGGAGATCCCGGGGCAGAGTGTTTGATATTCTGTAGAATAAGTAAATTAGCGAGCGATGACCCGAAACAGTGAGTTCTTGCAGCTTATGCTGTGCAATCTAGGTGGTGCAACCAATGTGGTGCAATCTAGCTGGTTCAATCCATGTGGTGCAAACATTCTATGTGGCGCGAAGCAATGCAACGCACCGCAAACCAATGCAACGCAATGCAAAAGTACTGCAACGCAACCCAAAGCAGTGAAATGCAAAGCAAGGCAATGCAAAGCAACGCACGCCAATGCGAAACCATGTAACGCACGGCAAAGCAACTCAAGGCAGTGCAAGCCAATTGAAAGCAATGCAAAGACATGCAAAACACTGAAAAGCACTGCATTGCATTGCAATTCAATGCAAACCAGTGCATTGCAACGCATTGCAACGCAATGCAATGCATTGCACTGAAAAGCAATGCAAATCGATGCGAGGCAGTGTGAAGCAATGAAGGGCAACGCAAGGCAATGAAAATCAATGCAAAGCAAAACAAACCAACGCAACACAAAGCAATGCAAAGCAAACCAAATACATGCATTGCAATGCATAGCAACGCAAAGCAATGCAAAGCGGCGCGAAACTATACAAAACTATGAAAAGCTGTATAAACCATGCAAGCCGGCCGGACCGATACCAGGGCCCAATTACGGCGATTGCCAACGGCGGCAACGGGCGGCAACAAGCCAGCGGGATCGACACTGGGGCCCACTTAATAGCGGCGACGGACGGCGGCGACCGGTGGCCACAAGCCGGTCAGACCGACACTGGAGCTCAGTTACCTTCGCACGCAAAAAAGAACCCCACGCGCTGGTTGGGGAATGTGTGTGACCCAAAACGTGTGATGCAATTATCATGTTGCGAGCTGCGTGGTGCAAGATATAGCGGATTCCGGAAACCCTGAAACCTAAAATGTTGTCATCTCTTGGGGGCGCCTTCTTTACTTCCGCCACCCTCCGCCGCCCTTCCGCCGCCCTTCCGCCAGCTTCCGCTGGCGGAGGCGGCATTGTTTTACTTCCGCAGCCCATCCGCCGAGGAAGAGAAGGGGATTCAGTTCGATCCTCAAAGGCAAGGCCCTTTGTGGCGCAAGCTATGTACAGTGGAGGCCAGTCCACCAGAAACCTTCCACATGAAACCCAACCCTGAGACCCCAGGACTTCCATCGATTTTGGCATGGGAACCTCACGCCTTCCACCCCAAAAAAACCATCGCCGCAAAAAACCCGCGGCACCGAGGGTCTTCCTTGTCCCGGGTCTCCACTGTACCACGGGGCGCCCACGAGGGCCCGCTGGGACGAGACCTGGAGGCGCGGACCCGTTAACTACCAAGGAGGGTGAACGGGAACTTCTTGGTGCAGACACTCTCTGGAGATCGGCCGACGGTACAAGAAATTCAGAAACATGCGCCCACGACTTCCTTCCCAAAGCCACACTGTTCCCGCGCGCAACATCGCCGATCGGCGACCTACGATCGAAAACACTAGTTGCCGAGTGCACCGCGCCAGAGCTCACCGCTCCAGCGAAGCCTGACAGGAGCAGGAGCACCGCGATGAGCACACAGGTTCTCTGCGCAGGACAGACTACGGCCTCGGCCTGTTCATAAACTGCTTCTGGCTCAAGACGCACTTGCGCTCAGACAGGTCCTCGATCAGGTCGAAAAAATCAGTCGATCCCATCGACAGAACAGCCTTGTTGCCGATGCAGGCCAGGCCATGCCTGGCTCGCGTGAGGGATACGTTCAGCAGCTTCGGGTTCGACACTATACCCAAATTGCTCTCGCAGATCTGCCGCAACGCCACGTTCTTTTCCTCCACCGATACAACTGTGTCAGATGCTGACGGGAGCGCTGCTTGCGACACGAGCTCCTCAGACGTGCTGCGCACAAAACTGAGGATGATGAAATCACGTTCAGAGCCTTGCAACGCATGCACGGTTCCAACAGCTATAGACTTGGCCCGGTAGCCAATGCGTTCAAGCAGCTTCTCGCGAATCTGCTGCTGCTGAGCTCGGTACGGGGTGATGATTCCAATGTGTGACGGGTCAGTTTTGTTATGGTTCAGGAGCCTCCAGACAACCTCAACAAGGATCAAAACCTCCCCGTCGTTCTTGATGGATGTATTACCCTCGACCAACGTTGGAGACATCGAGCTTCGCCGGCCATCTTCCACCACCAGGCCGAAAGTATGTGGGGTCTGACAGTCTATAAAGACGACGTTCTCCTTTTCCTTGGGCCACACGCCTCGCGGCAAGCTCGGAGGCTCCCTAGGCAGTTCATCCTGCAAGATGCCACTGTAGAACTGCTTCGAGGGAAAAGACCTGATTGTCGGAGCCATTCTGTACTGGCGGTTCAAGGAGGTGTTCGCGCGTGCTCGTTCGGCACCTCCTTTCAATATCCTTTCAATGAATGGCATTTCCAGCGCGTTGACATACGCTTTGCACATGTTCTTCTCAGGTATTACAGGGCCAAGCTGCTTGTGATCGCCAACGACCACGACGCGGTCCTCCGCCAAAAGGCTCGGCAACACCACGTCGGGCTCGCTGGCTTGCGCAGCTTCGTCCACGATGACCGTGGCGAAGGGCACCGTGCGAGTCATCTTCGTCACTTTCCCCTTCGTGAGCGCCGTGTGAAGGAAAGCAGAGGTACAAGTCGTGACAACCACCCTGCTCCTCCTCAAAACTTCCACCTCCCCGCGCTCGTGCGCTTCGTCGTACTGCTTCTGCGCGACAGGGTCGATCGAGTCCGGCGGCAGCCGGCCCTCCAGGGGCCTGACGTCGGCCGAGTGTTTGGTCTTGTGGTGCAAACCGAATTCCTCCAATTCTGACCTGATGTCGAACCTTTCTGCGGCAACTCATGGGAGCCTCCCAGAACATCCCGTCGGCCCTTGCAGATCGATGCTGGCTGACGCCAGTCGACGCTGAATCGATAATCGACCCCGGTCGACGCTGATCGTCGCCGAATCAGCGCTACCTCAGCTGTGACCAGACGCGTAATCGACGCGGATGCATTCTGCAGACGGAATTGCGAGGAAAGGACTCCCATGACTTGCGACCGAAGAACCTCATGTCCGAGTGCTTGCCCAAGGGCACCAAAGCACCGCCTTTGTACCGGCTCCCGTGTGCCATCTCAATGGCGCGGGCGTACACTCGCGTGATGAAACGGGGCGGGATGTTGGTGCTGCGGGCCAGCCGCGACACGATCTCGTCTGCGGCGAAATTTGACGGGGCGCAAACCAAAATTCGCCCCGGCTCTTGCTCTTTCTGCTGCCCCGCCGGCGTGCGCTTGCTTCGGGCCTGCTCCCAGCTCGGCTCCCGGCTTCTGTCGGTCTCCAGGTTGAGAAGGGCCACAACAAGGCGCACCAAGAAGGTGGTCTTCCCAGTACCGGGGGGGCCCTGCACCATGGAGAAGTCACACTGCAAGCCGCGCTTGACCCCCTCGACAGGAGGGAGGGCGAGAGCTACAGTAGGGGCCCGACCACAAGCTGAGACCCCAAGACGTCCATCGATGTTTGGTGTGGGAACGTCACGCATTCTATCGCAAACCCTTGAAACCCAAGAAACCCAGGGAACCCTGGAGGCAAGCAGGGTGCTTCTTGGGATGGGTCTCCACTGTAGTTGTTGTCGCCCGACCTCAAGCTGCTCCTTGTTCACGCCAGTCCCGCTCGTGATGCAAAAGTGGCCATCCAGCGCGTCATCCACCTAGGCGAATCCAGAAAACCAGGAAACACCGGTGTTGACCTACATTGGGGGGTCAACGGTCGCTTACGCAAACTTTCGCTGCCATTCTGCTGGCTTCTGCCAGCGAAACCGCCGTTGTTTCACTTGCGCTTGCGTCAGCCGTTGGCGAGAGGTCAACTCCTCGATTCATTCAAAGCGATTACCTGTTTTGAACCGCCCCACCTGCTTGGTGCTTGCAAGTGGACGCATTTCCTGCTGCTGGCGTACCTGTTCTGGGCTACGTGCGCTGGTCAGGTAGCGGTTCATGGGCGACGTCGTCTTCAAGTTAGCTGCTTTTATGCCCATGTTGTTCAACATCTCCAGGTTCTTCTTCTCAGCAAGGGGCACGCTGATAAACTGAACATTGTAAGACTCATCTGGATCTGCAAAACTCAATAGCTGGCCTGGGCCTCTCTGAACCAGGTATGCCGCAAGAGATATGTTGGAAAGCTTCACCTTGACTGTGTAACAACAACCCTGGAGTTCCTCCTGGCTGTGCGCATACGGGCAATGTTGGCCTGTGCAACGGGTCGTGTCGCACATCTTCGTCTTGAATTGGGTGGTCTTGGCTGTGCTCTCCTGCACGAGACCGTAAAAGACCGCCTCCCCCTTCTGGGTGCTGCACCGCAAGATTACCATGTCCTCCCGCTGGATCCACTTGTCTTCGTCTGCGTCAGAACGTCGCTGCAATTGGCACTCGAAGAAATGACCCCCCTGCCCCGGGTACCACTTAAGCTTCAGGGCCGGCATCCGCTGCGTATACGTGGAGCCCGCCAACGCCCCAGCGTGCACCTGGCATAAACGTATTCGGGACCAGATCTGCGCGTAGGCTGCCACGTCGGTGTCCATCTGGTACCACTCGGACAGGTCAGGAACTACGGAGAATACCTCGGGCGACATTCGGTGGCCTGTGGGCCAGACAATGTCGCGGTACTGCCCACCCAACTTCGCTTTGAATGTGAGCTCCGACACGATCACAGATGAGCCTGCGGCGTGGTGCGGGACGTTTTGAGCGAAATTCCGAGAGACAACGCACTCTTTGAGCTTGCTCGAATTCCAGGCCGCACAATACCACGTCGCCCGGTCCTGCAAGAAGCTCGAAGCCTCCTGGACCTGGGTGCAGGTCACCTTTAGGGTCTGGTCTTCAAACGTGTACTCACAATTAGACGAGCTGCTCTGCATGACGCTCACTGGCACCCGCAGCTGCAAAGGGGTCCACACAGCAAGCGGCACGACCACGTCGAAATTCGCCGGCCCGTCGGGCCAATGGTGTGTTAGATCCTGCAAGCAGGCAGAATTCAGGTGATGCATTTGAGTTGCTGTTTGTGTCTGGCCCACGCGGGCGAGGGCGCCTCGCGCAGCTGGGTGGAAGGGTGGAAGGCCCCATGCCAGCCCCATGATGGCCCCCAGATGACCCCCGAATGCTGCCAAGATGGCCCAGGATGGTCCAAGCTAGCCGAACGACTCCGAGACGATCCAAACAGGCTGAAGAACCTCTCCTCGCAGGCCCCCAGAGAGCCAGAACAGCGCTCGCACTTAAGGCTTCTTGCGGAGGGTTTCGAAAGGATCGGATGCGTCAGCCGAGTTTTCGCCCGGTGCCTGGTCGGCGGGCGCCCGTTGGCGCCTCGCGGGCGCCTCGTGTTGGGTGCGTCAGCCGAGGTTTCGTCCGGTGCCCGCCCCTGGGCGCCCCGCGGACGCCTCTTGCTCGGGATCCGTCGGCCACAGCGGATTTTTGGAATCCCTAGGAGCGAACCGGCGAAGCTCAAGAGTAATTCGAAAACGTTGGCGGACTGGTTGGCTTGAAAAATCTCGACGGTGTTGCGTAATTTTCTTTTCGTTAGAGATCTAATCTTTTTTCTTCCCATCTTGAAGTCGCCTGGATGCCCGCCCGTGGGCGCTCGGTGGGCGCCTCGTGCGCCGGGTGGGTCCGCCGAGGGTTCGCCCGGTGCCCGCCCGTGGGCGCTGCGTCGACGCCTCGTGCGCTGGGCGGGCCCGCCGAGGCTTCGCCAGGGTGCCCACCCGGGGGCGACGCGTGGCCGCCTCGTGCACTGGGCGGCCGCACAGCCTGCGCCACATGGCTCGTCGCCAGGTCGCTTGTGCTTGAGGAGAAAACCTAGGCACATGCACCGACTCTGGCCAGGCCCATCCTGAGCCCAGGATCGGTGCATACGCCCTCCTACCTTGGCCAGGAAGGCAATTGCACCGATCCTGGGTCAAGGATGGGCCTTGCCACGATCGGTGCATGTGCATAGTTCTCTTCGCCCGATGTACCACCCCACCTACACCTCCACCCTCGAGAAGAAACATGGTCGACCCACGAACCTGGAAAGGGATTTAGAGCTGCGAGGCTCCAAGCACCTCACTTGAGCGGGTCGACCCACGAACCTGGAAAGGGATTCAGAGCTGCGAGGCTCCAAGCGCCTCGCTTGAGCGCTGGGCAGTGGCAGTGCCGAGTAGACCCATGGTGACGATGCTGGTGCCAGAGGCTGTGCTGCGCTGCTGAGCGCTGCGCCGCGCACACAAAAAACACACGCTCTGGACAACCATGCTAGATGCCCCACTGTGGCTTGGACTCGTGACAACACGTGGCCTCTGCTCGGGACAACGATGTGAGATACCCCCTATGGTGGCCATGGCGCGTAAAAACACGTGGTTCCAGCTCGGGACAACCATGTTAGATACCCGCCTGGGTGGCTTGGACACGCAAAAGCACGTGGCAAGTACACGGGCGTCAGACACATGTTGCAAATCCCCTCCGCGCACGTATTTCCATGTGCGAAGTAGCCGCCGGATTCATGTAAATATCCCCCTATGGGTGCAATTTCATTGAGCGGCCACGCACGGGACGCTATTCTTCTACCAAGACGTGGTCCCGGAATTATGAAAATAATCGTTTCGCTCGGGACGTCCTCAGAAAAAAAAAAGATCGGCCGGCCAACTCTTTCATCGTTACCCATCTATGAAACATGTCGCTGGTCCACCCCCAACATGGCACTGGGGACAATGGGACACAACTAGTATGATCGACCCACGAAGCCGGAAACCAATACAGAATGTAAGGCCTGGCAACGGTTTCAAAATCACCTTAGTGGGCGACGGGCAACTGCAATGCTGAATGTATCGATCTTGATGTACCGTGCCGAGGGCTGTGCACTGCTGCGCCATGCTGAATTGCGATGTGCCGTACTGCGATTGTGTTCCATAGCGTTGTAGATCCGGTCCCCCTTATCATCCGAATACTGACCGAACTGATCTGGATCTTCAGCTCGAGCTGCCTGAGCACATAGCAGCTGCCCCAGAGCTAACTGACAGGGAACATGGACACGCGAAAACACTTGGTTCACGCCCACCCAGAGGGGATATCTAACATGCGGTCGTCTAGGGCCCCAGCTAGGGACAGCCATGTTAGATACCCCCCTGGGCGACATGGGCACGTGAAAACAAGCAGTTCGCCTGCGACGTCTTGTAAAATATGGCCCTCGACGAGACCCCCAACTTTGTAAAACCAGCATTTCGCCTGAGACAACCTCAGCGAATCTATATAAAACAAGCGTTTCGCCAGGGACATCCTCACTATTATCTTGCACAAGGTGTCTAGAGCTCCGACCATTTTATTCCGCGTCGCACCGCACCCACACCTCACCGCGTCTCTCCTATCCCCCCCCCCCCAGCGTTCCCCAGCGGCCCAATGGAACCTCCGCTCAATGCCCCCTCCGCCCCGACCATTTTATTCCGCGTCGCCGCCCCCTCCTCCCCGCCCCCCTACCCCTCCCCAGCGTTCTCCAGAGGCCCAATGAAACCTTTGCACAACGCCCCCTCCGCCCCAACAGGTCTATTCCGCGTCGCAACTCGCCCCCCCCTCACTGCCCCCCTCCTGCCCCTCCCCAGCGTACCCCAGCGGCCCAGTGGAACTTCCGCCCAGCGCCCCCTCCGCCCCGACCGTTTTATTCAGCGTCGCACCGCGCCCCCGCCCCGTCCCCGCCCCCCTCCTACCCGTCCCCAGCGTTTCCCAGCGGCCCAGTGGAACCTCTGTCCAGTGCCCGTTCCGCACCGACCATTATATTCCGCGTCGCACCGCGCCCTCCCCCTCCCCGCCGCCCCCCCGCTGTCCCACCCTTCTCAGCGTCCCGCCGCACCTTTCCCCTCATTCCCCGCCCCTCCCTTCCCACGCCCCCCACCCCAGCTTTCAGCGGCCCAAGGGAACCTCCGCCCAATGCCCCCAAGCCTTCCACCCCGACCGTGTTATTCCAGGTCACGTCGCGCCCCGCCCCGCCGCACCCCCCCCCTTCCCCCGCCACCCTCTCCCCCTCCCCAGCGTTTCCCAAAGCGGCCCAGTGGAACCACCGCCCAATGCCTCCTCCGCACCGATAGTTGCATTCCGCGTCGCACCGCGCCCCTCCTCCCCGCCCCCCATCCCTTCTCTCTTCAGCGTTCCCCAGCGGCCCAGTGGAACTTCCGCCCAATGCCCTCCTACGCCCTGACCATCTTATTTCGCGTCGCACGGCGCGCGCCCGTCCCCGCCCCCAATCCCCCCCATTCCCCAGCGTACCCCAGCGGCCCAGTGGAACTTCCGCCCAGCGCCCCCTCCGCCCCTACCGTTTTCAATTCAGCGTCGCAACCGGGGGGCCCCCGCCCCGCCCCCGCCCCCTCCTCTACCCCTCCTCAGCGTTTCCAGCGGCCCAATGGAAACCGTCTGTCCAGTGCCCGTTCCGCACAGACCATGATATTCCGCGTCGCACCGCGCCCTCCCCCTCCCCGCCGCCCCCCCGCTGTCCCACCCTTCTCAGCGTCCCGCCGCACTTTTCCCCTCATTCCCCGCCCCTCCCTTCCCACGCCCCCCACCCCAACGTTCATCGGCCCAAAGACCTCCGCCCAATGCCCCCACCCCTCCACGCCGACCGTGTTATTCCAGGTCACTTCGCGCCCCGCCCCGCCGCACCCCCCCCCCTTCCCCCGCCACCCCCCCCGCCCCAGCGTTCCCTAGCGGCCCAGTGGAACCACCGCCCAATGCTTCCTCCGCGCCGAAAATTGCATTCCGCGTCGCACCACGCCCCTCCTGTACGCCACCCATACCTTTTCTCCCCAGCGTTCCCCGGCGGCCCAGTGGAACCTCCGCCCAATGCCCCCAACCCTTCCACCCCGACCGTGTTATTCCAGGTCACTTCGCGCCCCGCCCCTAGCCGCCCCCCATTCCCCCGCCACCCTCCCCCCCGCCCCAGCGTTCCCCAGCGGCCCAGTGGAACCACCGCCCAATGCCTCCTCCGCACCGATAATTGCATTCCGCGTCGCACCGCGCCCCTCCTCCCCGCCCCCCATCCCTTCTCTCTTCAGCGTTCCCCAGCGGCCCAGTGGTACTTCCGCCCAATGCCCTCCTCCGCCCTGACCATCTTATTTCGCGTCGCACGGCGCGCGCCCGTCCCCGCCCCCCATCCCCCCCATTCCCCAGCGTACCCCAGCGTCCCAGTGGAACCCCCGCCCGCCGCGTGCCCCGTCTGCCTCCGTTTCGGGCCCCTGGGGAGTTCTTCGGATCCTCTGCAGACTTTTCGGGTGTTTGTTGGAGGCCTCCTGGGAGCAGGTTCAAGTGCCGCCGAGCCACCCTTGTGGGTCTCTAGGCGTGTGAGATAGTTCCCCCCCCCTTAATAGTCCCCCCCCCAGGGCCCCCAACCGGCGATTTGACCCCCCCCTGATGGCCCCCCCCCCGGGCCCGGGACGAACGACTCACGGGGCTCTTTTGGGCCCAAAAGGAGCTCCAGACGGGCCAAGAATGTCCCAAAACGCCTCCAAGACGGCCCACGAGGGCCTCGAGACGCCAAACGAGCGCTCCAAGACGCCCAAAATGGCCCCAAGACGAGCCAAGAGGCCTCCAAGACGGCCCACGAAGCTTCCAAGAGCAGTTCTCAGAAGAGCCCACGAAAAAAAACGCCAGAAAAATCGTCAAATTCCTATGGTAACAAACGACTTTTGAAATCATTTCCGACTTGTCGTGCCCTCCGGGTTGAAAGACGGGCCACGAGCACCCCAAGACCTGCCCCCAAGCGGCCTCAGAAGGCAAGCCCCCCAAGGTGAGGCGACTAAGTCCGGCCAAGATGTACGCAAGACAGCTCAAAGAGGCTCCCAAGACCGGCCCAAGAGGGCCCCAAGACGGGCCACAAGAGGGGTAGCCCAAGATGGGGAGCCCGAACGACACATCCGGCCTTTCCGCCCAAAAACGGCCGTAGAAGGGCAACAGAGACCCCAAGAGGCCTCA